GGCAGCAACCACAGCGGCGGGCGAAGTTGCGCTCGACACGCAGGAGCAAAGTGGCGGTGGCAGCGGCAGCGGCGACAAGGCCAAGGACAATTGGCGCGCGCGAGGCGGTGGACGTGGTGGGCGCGGCGGCGGCGGTCGAAGCGGAGGCGGACGCGGCGGCCGCAGTGGGCGTGGTGGTGGACGTGGCGGAGGCGCCCAGCCCAGTGCCGCAAGCGCAGCCTAACGGCGTCGCTGTGCTCACTTTGCGAACTGCCACACGTGTGCGTGGCTCAATGCAGACCTTGCTCTCCTGTTGCTTTGTGTGTGGGGTGGGGTTTATTGTCGTCGTTACCAATCCCGTTGCAGCGGTTGGGGGCCGTCGTACGCAGAGGTGAGTGTGGGGTTGAAGCCACGAACGGACCAAAGCCGGCGACTCAAAAAGTGCACCGCTGTTGGGCTCTCGGCGGGACTCTGCTTTGAGATGCCGCGAATGCGCCGAAATTTCGCCGAATCGGCCAAATTTGGTGGCGGCGGCCGTCGATTTCTGCCTCGGTCCCACTCTCTCTCCTCTTCCTTCCTTGCCACGATCATCGACGTTGGCCATCGTCGCTGCTTTTGCAAGATGGGCGGTGCATCGCCTTCATCCAGCAAGGCTGCGTCGGAGCGTCGGCCAGCCGAAGACGAGCACGCCGACTCGGACAGCAGTTCTGGCTCGGACAACGATCGCGCCGGGGCGGGCAGTGCGCCCAAGAAGGTCTCGTGTCAGCCGTGTCGCGAAGCCAAAGTCAAGTGCATACCCTCGCCTACGGGTGCTTCGTGCACGCGGTGCGTCAAGCTGGACCGCGAATGCGTCTACCGCACACACAAGCGCGGCCGCAAGCCGGGCAAGATCAAGCTGCAGCAGATCCTGCGGCGGCTCGAGCTGCTCGACCGCACGCTCGACGAGCTGCGCACGCTCAACAAGCACGTCGCGGATCCGGACGCATCGAGCCTCATCGAGACGCTCACCTGGCAGCTGCACAGGTCCAAGTTCTTCGCCAAGGGCGCCGTCGCCGACGCCAAGTCGATCAAGGCCATCAAGCGCGACGAGGGCACGCCGCCGAGTTTGGCCTCGCCACAGCCGCTGCCCACGGCAGGTGCGGCGTGGGAGCGCGAACGAGCCAGCTTGTCCCAGGGTAGGGGCGAGATGCAGCGGTCACGGTCGGACTTTAACATGCTGGTGGATATGGAGGACCAGGCGTCGGTGTCGAGGGTGCCCGACGAGTTCCCCACGCTCTCGAACCCGCTCAAGCTGCTGGCGCAGGCAAGCAGCGACGAAAGCGCACGACGTCGCAAAGGCAGCGTGGGCAGATCCGGTCTGCACAGGCAGGCGAGCTTGGGCGCCGGACACGCTCCCAGCAGCGATGAAGCCGACGGCACCACTCGCGCGCGATCGCAGCCCCAGGCCGGATTCCACACCGACGAAGAAGCGCAAGAGGGCCCGCGCAAACGACGCCGTTCGCAGTCGCCACCCTCTTCTTCCGCCGAGGATGCACCACACCCCGGCGCTGTCGAGCGAAGCACATCCGCGCGGCGTGGAGACGAGGGGGCATCGGCATCGAGCTGGGCGTCGACCTACTTTTCGCGCGGCGCCTTCCACCCGGTCTACGACAACCGGCAGGAGTTCGACCCTATCGACCAGGGCCTGCTCACCGTCGCACAAGCCGAACGACTCATCACGAGCTTCTACGCGACATTCGGCACGTTCATGCACATCTTTGACCCGGAGCTCTCGAGCATCACGTACATCCGCAAGCACTCTGCATTTCTGCTCACCGTCATGTGTGCGCTGTCGGCCGAGTTCGAACCGTCCAACTCGTCGCCCGCCGTCCAGGAAGAATCGGCTGCCCTGGCGGTGGGACTGCGGCGGCATTACGAGGCGATGATCACTTGGATCACCGCGGGTGACTACAAGAACGTCGAAATGGCCCAGGCGTTCTTCCTGCTGGCGAGCTATCGGCCCATGTCGGAGAGCGCAATGTCGGACCAGACGTGGCTGTTTCTGGGCACGGCGATCCGCATCGCGACGGAGCTCGGGTGCAACCTTGTGTGCTATTCGTACTCTACGCCTGCGGTGCATGCGAATCAGCACTACCAGCGGCAGCTGCGCAATACCGAGCGGCTGTGGATCAATCTGTGGAACCTGGAAAAGACGCTGGCGAGTCAGACGGGCCAGCGCATGCATCTGGCCGACGAGGGCGTGATTGCGACGTGCAGTCGGTGGCACAGCATGCCACTGGCGCTGAGGCAGGACGAGGCGTTGGTGGCGCAGATCGAGCTGCGCCGCATCATGATCGCACAGGGCGACCATTTCAACACGCATGTGCTGCGCAGTCTGGGTGCGCGGCGTCGGGTTGGCGAGCCGACGCGGGATCGCGGGGAGGAGGATGCAGGCGTGGCCGAGAGGGACCAGCTGACGCTGCAGCTGAGCTACTTCCGCAACTCGGTGCACATGGATCTCAAGCGCTGGGAAGAACGCTGGCTCTCCACCACGTCCACCTCGCCGCCCACGCCGCTGCAAATCACCGGTCCGCTCTCGCTCGACTACGCAGCGCTCGTCACATACGCACTCGCCCTACCCATCAGCTACTCTGTCGACGTGACAGCCGAGCTGGCGCAGCTGTACAGGCACTGCTACATCAGCTGCACCAACTACATGGCGACGTTCATCGACCGCAGCCAGCGCGGCTACATGGACCACGTGACCAACTCGTTCATCGTCTCCACCGTCTACGCCGTCGTCTTTGCGCTCGATCTGTCCCGGCGTCATGCGGTGCAGCAGCGGCGCGGGCACAAGGCGGGCGAGGTGGATCTGGGATTCGTCTCGCGCTCGCGCGTGCTCAATCTCGCCCGGCTCACCGCGAGCGAGCTGGACAAGATCGGCAGCGCACGCACCGCGCGCAGCGGCAAGAGCATCGCGTCCAAATACAGCGTCTTTCTCAGCGGCGTACTGAGCCGCTTTGAGCCGGAAGCGCAAACGAGCTGTGCGGATACAGCGAGGGATGACCAGGGTGCGGCTCTTCGAGGCCTTGGCACTCGCTCTACCAGCCGCGAGGATCGGACGGAGCGTGCACCCGAGTCGTCGCGACACCTTCGTCGGGATCACAACCACCCCATGCCACCCACCGCACCAGGCACAAAGGCTTCCCACATCTACTCGTCCAACATCCACTTTTCGCCACACCTCGCTGCATCCTGGCCCGCCCAACCCGCTTCCACATGGACCGATCAATCGCCCGGCACCACCTCGACTGCATCCACAGCTCCTCCAGGCCCTCCGGGCCCTCCGGGAGCGGGCTTGAGTCCGGCCTCGTGGTTCAACGTCAACATACCGCACCCGGCGACAGGCGCCCTCGACGCGCCACCCGCGCTGGACCCGCAGTGGGAATGGATGATGAAGGATCTGGATTTCTTCGCCGTCGACGGGGGCGGTGGAGGCGGCGAGCCGATCCTGGATCAGATGGGTCGATTGTTCGGCTGAGCATTTTTGGCAATGCTAAATGATTCTAGTCTGTACACGTTGCACGATGGCAGTGGCGGNGAGCCGATCCTGGATCAGATGGGTCGATTGTTCGGCTGAGCATTTTTGGCAATGCTAAATGATTCTAGTCTGTACACGTTGCACGATGGCAGTGGCGGTGAGCAATGCGGCGGTGAGGGCGGCGACGGCGGCGACCTTGACCATATTGGCGCGGTGCGGAAGCGAGTACTTGATGTACACGAGCGCTGCGTGTTGCGGGGCTACGTTGCGCTGGGTGAGCACGATGGTGTTGCGACCGACCGTGTCGAGGTAGGTGTTTGTGATGTGGTGCTCGAGCTGGATATCGTACGGCAGCTCCAGCTGCACCCTCGATGCGGCTTCTGGCAGCACAATGACGGTGGTGAGTGCGTCGACGGCCACATCCTTGATGGGCGTAAACAGCGGCACGGCGGTAATGTACTCGTTGGACGCGCGCACCTTCCTCGTCCATCCACCCGCACTAAGCGGCAGGGTAAAGCCCACGCTAAACGTGTAGTTCCACCCGCCCAGCAAGGGGAACCTCGGCTGGAGCTCGAGTGCACTCATCCTGGACGCCACGCCTGCCGAGGTCGGAAGCACGGACGAGGCCCCGAGCAGCGAGGGATCCGGCCTCGACTCGCGGAACCTCGAGGTGGAGACGTTGCCGATATCGTCGACAAACCAGGCATCGCGCGCGCCCGCCGGCAGGCTCATGCCGATCGTCGAGAGCGCACTGGCGGAAGCCTTGTTGTAGAACGCCGCCATCTGGTGTTCGATGCGCGAAAAGTGGCCCTTGAGCTGTGCACCCGCATTGCGCACCACCAGTCGGTCGTGCACACTCAACGCATCGCCCCAGTGGCTCACCTCGGCCGTGCGCCTCAGCTCGACAATGACCGCCCTCGGCGCATCGAGTTGGAAATGCACACTGCCCTGCTCGATCTTGGTGCGCGCTTGGATGGGCTCGACGTTTTCAAACGGCCCAAACGTGACGATGCTGCCGGACTTGGTGGCCGAGTCGGGCGTGTAGGCGATGATCTTGGGCGAGGCCGCCTTGACCTTGATGCGCGCGGCCTTGGTGGGGTAGGGCGAACGCACGGCCGCATCGCCCGTCCACAGCACCAGCTGCGCCTGCGTCTGCTTGACCTGCTTCGGCAGCGGCTGCGTCACGTGGTTGAGCGCCGTCTCGAGTGTGAGGCTCACACCATCCGCGCCCACGAGCTCGGCGGGGATCTCGGCCTTGTACACCACCGAGTCCGCATCCGCGTCAAGAGGCCCGAGCTGTTGCAGCGGCACGACGGGTCGCATGCCGCCGTGCGCAGTGTCGCGCGCCGCAAACGCCGAATCCAGCGCCGGCTTGACCGTCAGACGCGACCACGCCAGGTGCTCCGCCTCGTGCGCCGCCAGCACAATGTAGTAGTCGAGCACCTCGCCGCCGGTGTGAGATGCGCCCGGGCGGACGGAGAGCGTGGTGATGGCGTGCGAGGTGGTGCCGGCGAGTTCGATCTGCTTGACCAGGTTGGTGTTGGTCCAGTCCGCGGCGTTGGGGAGCGAGACGGCGAGGGCGGGCGCAGCGAACCATGCGCCGAGGCAGGCGAGCCAGGCCAGCACGAGCGTCGTGGTGCGCGTGGAAGCGGATACGCCCATCGTGTGTGTGTGTGTGTGT